AAAAAAAAAAAAAAAAAAAAAAAACAAAGATGGTGTCATTAAATACACCTTCAGTTACAGATGGATCGTGAGTCCATGCCACATATGTCTTTTGAGTACATGAAAGTTTTAGTGTTACGCAATGCAGTTTGTATTCTGTAACTTCTTTTGACCCAGAGTATTCCTGAGATTATTCCCCACAGATTGCAGCTGTAGGTAATGGATTTTCATTGTTTGATTGTCTACATAGCTCTATAAAGTAGCTTCCTCTTACGAATTGTGTTGAGCCCTGGGGAGTGTCTGGCATTTGTTCTTAGGGACAGTGCTTTTGTGCACATTCTGTCCATGTGTCTGGGGCACATGTGCGAACACCTGCATCTGCTGCTTCTTGGCGCATGGAAGTGTCTAGTTCTGCAAGATAATGCAGGAACCCGCACATTGATGCATGTCTGTTTTTCCGAGGTGTTGTGCAGGTTTCCACTTCCCCTGCAGCACAGCAGAGTTGCATCATCCTCAGCCTCACAGCACTGTTTTCAGCAGGGCGGGGGAATGATGAAAAAGGCAGAAATAAAAGTGCTGTTACTGGCGGTGGCGGCGGCCGGGGAGGCAGCGGTGCAGTCAGTGCTAGCCAAGCTGAGCCGCGCTGATCTCCATCCAGCCCCGGCTGTCGCGTGCGGGCCTGGCGGCGCCGCATCCCGTGGAGCTCGAGAACATCGTAGCGAACACAGTGCTACTCAAGGCCCGGGAAGGTGGCGGTGGGAATCGCAAAGGCAAAAGCCAGAAACGGCGGTAGATGCTCCAGTTCCCCCACATCAGCCAGTGTGAAGAGCTGCGGCTCAGCCTTGAGGGTAACTACCGCAGCCTTTGCGAGTGGCAGCCCATTGGGCGCCTGCTGTTTTGAGAGTTCTGTGCCATGAGGCCGGAGCTGAGCCACTGCATCGCCTTCCTGGATGGGCTGGCCGAGTATGAAGTGACCCTGGATGAGAAGTGGAAGGCATGTGGGTGGCGACTAATGCAGAACTTTCTGACCCACACGGGTCCTGACCTCATCCCTGAGGTCCCCCTGCAGCTGGTGACGAACTGCGCCCAGCAACTGGAGCAGGGGTCCTGCAAAGACCTCTTCCAGGAACTCACCCGGCTGACCCACAAGTACCTGAGCGTGGCCCCATTTGCCGACTACCTTGACAGCATCTAATTCAACCGTTTCCTGCAGTGGAAGTGGCTGGAAAGGCAGCCAGTGACCAAAAACATCTTCAGGCAGTACCGAGCCCTGGGCAAAGGTGGCTTTGGGGAGGTGTGTGCCTGCCAGATGCGGGCCGCAGGCAAGTTGTATGCCTGCAAGAAGCTAGAGAAAAAGCGGATCAAGAAGCGGAAAGGGAAGGCCATGGCGCTAAAGGAGCAGCGGATCCTAGAGAAAGTGAACAGTAGGTTTGTAGTGAGCTTGGCCTGTGCCTGTGAGACCAAGGACGCACTGTGCCTGCTGCTGACGCTGATGAACGGAGGCGACCTCAGGTTCTACCACATGGGCCATGCCGGCTTCTCCAAAGCGCAGGCTGTCTTCTACACCACCGAGATCTGCTGCGGCCTGGAGGACCTGCACCGGGAGCGCGTCGTGTATAGGGGCCCAAAGCCAGAGATCGTCTTGCTGGATTACCACGGCCACATCCGCCTCTCCGACCTGGGACTGGCTGTGCTTGTACCCGAGGGCTAGACCATCAAAGGCCGTGTGGGCACTGTGGGCTACATGGCTCTAGAGGTGGTGAAGAACGAAGGGTACGTGTTCAGCCCTGACTGGTGGGCACTAGGCTGCCTCCTGTACGAGATGATCGCAGGCCAGTCACCCTTTCAGCAGAGGAAGAAGATCAGGCGGAAGGAGGTGGAGCGGCTGGTGAAGGAGGTGCCCGAGGAGTATTCAGGGCACGTTTCCCCACAGGCCCGCCCACTCTGCTCCCAGCTCCTCTGCAAGGACCCTGCCAAACGTCTGGGGTGTCGTGGGGGCAGTGCCCGTGAGGTGAAGGAGCACCCCCTCTTTAAGAAGCTGAACTTCAGTCGGCTGGGAGCCGGCATGCTGGAGCTGCCCTTCAAGCCTGATGATCCCTAGGCCATTTACTGCGAGGATGTCCTGGACACTGAGCAGCTCTTCACCGTCAAGGGCTTGGCGCTGGAGCCCACTGACCAAGACTTCCACCAGAAGTTTGCCACAGGCAGCATGCCCACCTCGTGGCAGAACGAACAGATGGAGACGGAGTGCTTCCAGGAACTGAATATCTTTGGGCTGGATGGCTCAGTTCCCCCAGACCTGGACTGGAAGGGCCAGCCACCTGCACCCCCTAAAAAGGGACTGCTACAGAGACACTTCAGTCACCAAGATTTGCTGTGGAAACTGCAGCAGCAATGAGGAAGAGCTCCCCACCTGCCTCTAGCCCCGAGCCTGAGGCCCCCACCGGCAGTTGGCGGTAGCAGCTACTTCAAGTGCTGTTCACAGTTTTGCACAGTGGTCTTCCCCATTGTCCACTCGAGTGGTGGCCTGGGGAGCACAGATGGAACTGTTCCCAGCGTCCTCCGCCCCTCAGCCCCTGGCCTGGCTGAGTGTGGCAAGGCCTGGGCTGTCCCTAGGACAAAGGTGCGTCCCTTCAGCTCTTCTCTGTGAAGCTCGGGGCTTTCTGTATTTATACAAATGTATACAGCGACCGAAGCGTTCTTAATTCCCACCGCAGACCTGGCGCCCCCGCCTTGGCTCCTGGGGGCAGCCAGCCCTGGCTGGGAGAGTGGGAGCTGACAGAGGAGCCACTGCCAAAGTCAGGGCTCCTCCGGCCCAGTTTGGACGGCTGAGGGTGGTCACGGCCCTGAGCCCTCAGCACTGTGCTGGGTCACCCCCCTGCATTCCCCCAGCCTCTGAGTAAGACTCATGCCTGCCTTTGCTGCCTTGGGCTCAGGCTGCTACCCTGAGGGGCCCAAAGCTGTCCCTTCTCAGTGCTTGTCAGAGCTGGATCTGGGGCCTCTGTATCTCCTGGGCCTGTGCCAAAGTGGCCAGAGATTGGGTTGGCAGTGAGACCCATCAGTCCACTGCCCCAGCTAGCCCAGATAGGTCTGCCTCTGCCTTTCAGCTCCCAGGGCCTGGTCCCTGATGTTGGGCCCTGTCCTGAAGACACCTCTTTCAGAAACGCCCGAGCCCAGCCCCTAGGTGGGGGTGGGGCATCCCCTGGACAACCCTCAAACATTCCGGACTCCCCTCATAATGATAGATACATGTGCCCAGCCCAAAAAAAAAAAAAAAAAATAGTGCTATCACTGGCGTATGATGCGATGTAATTTCCTACATGGGGCTCTCAGAACAGATTAGAGAGTTTAGCAAGTTTAAGATCAAAATATTAAATCAATTCATTTTGTTAAACCAACAACAATTAATTATAAAATTAATTTGAAAAATATTGCTTACAATAGCAAAAGCATATCTAGGGATAAATGTTAAGACCGATGTGTGTGCATAAAATGTGTAAACTTTATTGAAGGACATTTAAGGAAGATCTGCCTAATTCTCCCCCATGTTCAGAGAAGGGAAAAGGACAGCTGTCAGGTCTCTCAAAGTTGCTCCTAACACTCAGTGATGTTCCCATCGAAAGCCAGGCATTTCTCTAATATGACAAGGTAACTCTAGAATTCATTGAGGAGAGTGCAGGGCCAGGGTTAATTAAAACACTTGTGAAAAAGAGGCGCATTTGCTCTGTAAACACCAGAACTTATTATAAAACTGTTGTGATGAAACTATGTAGTTCTGGCCACGAGAAGGGCTTAGAAGGATTGACAGGCCAGAACACTGAGCATGCCAGGCCTCGAGGTTTTCGAAGTATCATTCTCTGTTAAGAGGAGCCCTGAGATTGGGCGCAGTGGCTCACTCCTGTAATCCCGGCACTTTGGGAGGCTGAGGCAGGCAGATCAGGAGATCAAGACCAGCCTGGCCAACATGGTGAAACCCTGTCCCTACTGAAAATACAAGAATTAGCTGGGCATGGGGGCGCGTGCTTGTAATCCTAGCTACTCGGGAGGCCGAGGCAGGAGAATCGCTTGAACCTGGCAGTAGGAGGTTGCAGTGAGCTGAGATCATGCCACTGTACTCCAGCCTGGCTCCATCTCAAAAGAGGAGCCCCAAGTGCTTGGAGAGAGAAGCAGCTGATTCCAGGGGTGGTGCAGCAAGAAGGAAGGCGAATCTGGAACCCGAGGAACTGTACTGTATTGGAGTGGGGAACGGGGACTGGAGAATCCGTAATGCTGCATACAGAGAAACAGTAATTCACAAAGCTGTAATAAGGTTCCGTATGTGAAAGACCCAAAATTGGAAACTTTTTGAGTGCTAACATGCTCAAAGGAAATGCTACTCGGAGCATTTTGGATTTTCAGATTAGGGATGCTCAGCTGTGAAGTATAATGCAGCTATTGGGAGAATCTGAGAGTAAATATGTATTTGCTTATCTGTATATCTGATACACATTTTCAGATTTATATATACAAGTTTTTTTTTTTTTGGGGGGGTGGGGACGGAGTTTCGCTCTTGTTACCCAGGCTGGAGTGCAATGGCGCGATCTCGGCTCACCGCAGCCTCCGCCTGCTGGGTTCAGGCAATTCTCCTGCCTCAGCCTCCTGAGTAGCTGGGATTACAGGTGCCCGCCACCACGCCAGGCTAATTTTTTTGTAGAGACAGGGTTTCACAATTTTGACCAATATGGTCTTGAACTCCTGACCTTGTGATCTGCCTGCTTCAGCCTCCAAAGTGCTGGGATTACAGGCGTGAGCCACTGCACCCGGCCTGTTAGCCTTTTTAGTGTTGGTTATGCCTTCAGCATGGATACTATTCATCCATTTTTAATTTTTTCTTGTTGAATTTATTGTGTCTTTATTCTCACTTCCCTTGATTTGTAGATTTCAAGCCTGGGTTACTGTGTAAATCCTCAGAAAGTTTTCATTGCTTTTGCTTTTCTCTTATCCAGTCAAATATTTCTACCAACACGAGAGTAATTGAACATATTTTCTTTCCTCACCTAACCCATGGTAGCTGCTTTCTCTCCTAAACCTCCTCCCCTCTCTAGTACTACGTCTGTGGCGGGCTGTGCTGGTCGTTTCTGCCTGAGCCCTTTCTCCCCTGCATTGCTGCTGCTTCCTGTGTCTCCCACCCCCCTGCCCTAGAAGGCCGGAGTCAGGGAGGTGGGGCTTTGATCCCCTCTTTGTCTCCCTTGCAGCTCCTGCCTGCTTGGCCCTCATCCAACATCTGCCTTGGGCTATTTACTGACGGATGGGGCTTTATCTCGAGGGTGGGTCCCTGAGGACAGGCATTGCTGGAGTCTTCTTCCCCCACTACCTCTGCCCCATTGGGGATTGTCACCATGACCCTTGGTGTGCATATCGGAGACTCAGTGTGGAGCTGAGGCAGGACCTAGACTGAAACGCTGTGTGTGATTTCCTCTCCTAGTGGGCATCCCCACCATCAGATGGTGCGGGGCAGAGGGGGACTACAACGTCATGGTGATGGAGCTGCTGGGGCCAAGCCTGGAGGACCTCTTCAACTTCTGTTCGAGGAAATTCAGCCTCAAAACTGTCCTGCTGCTTGCCGACCAGATGGTAAGGACTGCTCACTGACACTCGGTCGCTCACTGTGCTGTTCTTGGCATTATTATGGCTGTTAATTCGCAGAGGAAATGGAAACATGTTGAGCCTCAACCTCGAGGCTAAGGTGGCACGGCTGAGTGGCTTGGAGGCCACCCTCTCGGTACCAGCACAGCATGCTTCCGTTTAGTGGGCTCCCTGAGTCTCTCAGGGACACGCATGTGATTCCTAACCACATCTGTGCAGTTTCTGTTCATTCTCGTGTGTATCCTTTGTGAAGAGCAGAGCTGGGAGAGACCACTGTCTAGGGGTGGGGGTTGTCCCCTCTTTCTGTCATCTCATCTCTTTTTTTTTTTTTTTTTTTTTTTTTTTTTTTTTTTTTTTTTTTTTTTTTTTTTTTTTTTTTTTTTTTTTGAGATGGGGTCTTGCTCTGTCGCCCAAGTTGGAGTGCAGTGGTGTGATCTCGGCTCACTGCAACCTCTGCCTCCCTGGTTCAAGCGATTCTCCTGCCTCAGCCTCCCAAGTAGCTGGGACTACAGGCGCAAGCCACCACACCCAGCCAATTTTTGTATTTATAGTAGAGGGGGTTTCACCTTGGCGGCCAGAATGGTTTTGATCTTTTGACCTTGTGATCTGCCTGCCTCGGCCTCCCAAAGTGCTGGGATTACAGGTGTGTGCCACCAGGCCTGGCCCACACCTCTATTTTGCGGGAGCAGAGGGCAAAGCGCCTAGGTTGTGGAGGATGGAGGGTTGCTGAAGGCACCTGGGGGAACAGTTTGGTCAGTTCTGCGTCTCCTCACTATTGGTTAAACTACCCTGCTGTGGCTGAGGGGCAAAAAGAACACAGCCGCTGGCATGGTGTCCTGCAGTCGAACGGTCCCTTTCTGAGGCCACCTTGGGGTGCCATCTCATGCCCTTGCTTCTCTGCTCACAGATTAGTCGCATCGAATACATTCATTCGAAGAACTTCATCCACCGGGATGTGAAGCCGGACAACTTCCTCATGGGCTTGGGGAAGAAGGGCAACCTGGTGTACATCATCGACTTTGGGCTGGCCAAGAAGTACCGGGACGCGCGCACCCACCAGCACATCCCCTATCGAGAGAACAAGAACCTCACGGGGACGGCGCGGTACGCCTCCATCAACACGCACCTTGGAATTGGTGAGCCCCTGGGTGTGGGGTCACTGGCCTTGGCCTAGGGTGCCTTTTGGGTGTTTGTCTCCATGCCTCAGCCCAGGGAGAGGCCAGCCTAGCTGGGGGTGCGAGCGTGTCATCAGACCTTTGTGGCAGACAGGGTGGCTCATGGCTGCCAGGTGTGGGGGTGGTAGGCGGATGCTGGGATGTTTCTGAGTCACCTGTGATGTGTTTGGGAATTTCCTGAGGATGCATGAAGGCAGCTTTGGGTGAGAGTGATCCAGGCATGTGTCTGAGGGTTGTCTGTGCTGTGTCAGCAGGTTCTTTTGCTTTTACATGAGCACATGAGTGTCGTCCTTCACGCCGTTTCCTTTTCTTTTCAGAACAATCCCGAAGAGATGACTTGGAGTCTCTGGGCTACGTGTTAATGTACTTCAATCTGGGCTCTCTCCCCTGGCAGGGGCTGAAGGCCGCCACCAAGAGACAGAAATATGAAAGGATTAGCGAGAAGAAAATGTCCACCCCCATCGAAGTGTTGTGTAAAGGCTACCCTTGTAAGTCTCTGGAGGCCTCCTCTCAGTGGAGCTGCTCATGGGGGTTGCCCACGTGTTGGGCCCACGGCTCAGGAGAGTTGCAGGCCTTCAAAAGGGTGGTGGCAGGAACGAGGGGTGCTTTTAAGTATGGAGGTAACAGCCGGCCCTCCTGTTCAACTTGACTTACTTGCTAAGTGCCCATCCGTGTGGGGAGCACTTGGAGGCCCTGGACAGACGGCAGGCAAGGGGGCCCGAGCCTCGGGGTCCCGAGTGGCTGGAAAAGGACAGTTGGGCAGTGGTGGGACCTCTCTCTGCCCTGGCTGCCCTCTCTGGCCCCCTCCAGCTTTGGGAGCTCGAGAGTTTTTCTTTGCATTTGTAGATTGCCCCAGGATACACATCTCAGATGAAACTAAATTGTGCTTTTGGACTTGAATTCTTATAAATGCTTTCTTAAGGCCTAGAGCCATAGAACTCTGGCGGGTGTTTTAATCGCTCTTCTCCCCTTGAGTGTGCAGCAGCAGGCAGTAGACAGCGGCGCAGACAGACTCCTCCAGTTGCTGTCGGGTTTTGAGAGCTAGCTTTGAGTTTCCTGTTTTGCAGCTGAGTTTGCCACATACCTGAATTTCTGCCGTTCCTTGCGTTTTGACGACAAGCCTGACTACTCGTACCTGAGGCAGCTTTTCCGGAATCTGTTCCATCGCCAGGGCTTCTCCTACGACTATGTGTTCGACTGGAACATGCTGAAATTTGTAAGTGGCACTGCCAGCATGTTTGCTCCATGTGCTGTTCGGGGGCTGCCTCTTCAGCTAGAGGCCAGCGGCCTCTTGTTCAGGGGACTATGCTGTATAGGGAGCATCTGCCCTGCAGTGAAGGGCAAGTGTGTTGTAGCGGGCAGGAATTTGACTGAGTGGGCGTCTGCTTATGGGAAAGGGGTGCCAAGTAGTAAGATGCCATCAGGGAAAGCAGAGGGGTCCGTGGGAGTCTTGGATGTGGACAGCAAGAGGCCCCCCTCT